ACGAGGACGATGTTAGGCTCCCAGGCCGTAAGGCCCTTCTCCACACGCGAGAGGTCCGACGCGTCCATCTCCGGCTCGAACCCGCCTCCGCGGTTGCCCACCATGCGGTACGACAGGAACTGCAGCGTCGGCGACGGAGGCACCGGGTCGGAGGCCATGCCCGCCTCGACGGCGCGCTCCCAGACGGGCGAGTCGTCCGGATACGAGGGCCGCACCACGAGCACATCGTGCCCGTGCTCGGAAAAGTACCTCGCGTGGCCCATCACCGTGATGGCTGCACCGTCCACCTTGGGCCACCAAGTGTTGGTCACGTAGGCGATCCGCTGCCGCACCGCGGGCCCGCCCGCACTAGCGGCCGCGGCGGGGACCACGTCCCCGCCGGGCGGCGCGCTGGCCGCGAGGCAGCTCCGCTGGAGCAGCAACAGCCACATCGTTATCAGAGGCAGCAGGAGCCAGCCTCCTGCCTTCAGCGTCTTCAAGGCTGAAAAAAAGAAAGCATAAAACCCCGTGCAGCGCGCATGTATTGTCGATTCTCCCTACGATTAGCGTGGAGCACGTAACTGCATGTTTTCTTCATGAACATGATGCTGCTGCTTGTCGATCTTTTTTAGCAATACCAATCAACTAACACTCACACGTCATTTGGGGCCTGGAGCCTGTTCACGCGCGCGCGAGACGTGCAGACAGGGTTGCCAGGTGAGAGCGAATGGCGCGGTTCACGCCTCGCACAACAGAGAGAGAGAGATGCGCTCTGCATGGTGGGACATAAAAGAGAGCGAGTACTTGGGCGAGTAGGCCGTGCGGTCAACTCTGCCGCGCGCGACTTTGCGCGCGAGGCGGCGCAGCTTGAGAACGGCGGTGGGCGAGAAGCCGCCGCCGAACGTCGTCGTGGAGCAGCAGGTTGAAGTTGTTGCGCTTGACAAAGTTCAAACTTCAAAGATCGCGTCGTGATGTCGAGCGACAGGGAGGTTGCAGCCAGAGATTTTTCAAAACCACTCTCTTTTTTGTGTAACCATTCTCTTGCTCAATCGTGGTCAGTACTGTTATGTATATGCACTCTGCCCCCTATGCATTCGCATCCTGATATGCATTCTTACCGATCCATAACCTTAGCGCCTATACATTTACGTATTTGCAAAATACGTCGCCCTCTCCCACCCTCGCGCGTCGCGGCGCGTGGAATGCATAACACAGATACATAATACATAGGCGAATGGATGCGCATTACGACCGAGTGTCACAAAACTCCTATGAATTATGTATTATGCATTTGCATTACGCACTGGGAGTCCACATCGTGTGTTATGTATTACGTATTATGTATTACGTATTGTGTATTACGCACTGCCACTGGGAGTCAACATCGTCTGTTATGTATTATGTATTACGTATTATGCGTATTATGCACTACGCACTGGGAGTCCACATCGTCTGTTGTGTATTACGTATTACGTATTATGTATTATGTATTACGCACTGGGACGTGGGAATCCCACCTCGCAAGGTAATGGCTTTAGGGACTAAAGCGATGGTGGGAAGGAAGCCGTCCATACCTTGGCGCCATTTTC